GTTGCACTCGTGCGTCCATGCATTCAGAATGAACCCAGGCTGAAGATAACAGCTGGTCCAGGTCTGGTTCCAGAATCAGATGGTTGAGACTCAACAGCGTCCTTAAACAGCGGTACCACGCTGGGATGCTGAAGGACAAGACAGCAAACATATTCACTGTATGACCAGCAAATAGATTACACAAAAAAAACACTTAAAGGATTCAGAATGTAAAAAGAAATGTAACAGACAATGAAAAATACATCAAGGAGTATATATAGTTCTTTCTTTTTTTACCTTGGCTGGGCCTGGTTGAAGAGCATTTGTTCCAAAGCTCTGTAAAATTTGAGTTGGACCTCTTCGTGTCTGATCCTGTCTGCTGCTACATTGTAAATGTCCGCTGACAGCGCCTGGCTGAGCAGGGACTCCACAGCCAGCAGAGCCAGGCTCCAGCTCTCTGGGGAACAGAGTGGGGGAGACTTCTGCCCAGCGGACACAGAGACCGGCTGCTCTGCGTCGGCAGGTGAGAGTGACCGTCCATCAAGACATACTTCCAAGACCGGGACCAACCTGGTGAGGAAATAAAAACACAGAATCCGGTGGGACTCCTCACTTCCTCTCCCTTTTGCATAGCTCTCCAGAAAGAACTTAAACAGCAGAGGCAATGTGTTTGACTTCACAGCGTAGTGCAGAAGCGGCTCACAGTAGCCCCGAGCACTCAGTTTGGAAAGTATGGCACTGACTGGCTTCAAGGGGCCTTTAGCCCCTCCAGGACCACGTTTCCCAGAATCCTCTTTGGATGGAAGGAGCTCCTCCTTGTACGATGTTAGGTGCTCAGAGGGAAACAGAGCTAACTGAAGGATGGAGTCTATTTTGACGCGGATGTCTCTGGACAGCTGCTGACGGAGGTGCAGATGTGTGTGAGAGGGTGCAAATTCCCCAGAGGTCAGCAGGTGTCTGAGTAGTATTAAAGGTTGGATCAGCTGGTTGGTTACCATAGTAAAGACTCTGTTAGGATTGGCTTGTTGTCGCTGAACTGACAAATAACACGACAGCACCTGGAGCAACACCTCGAACAAATGAGCTGAACGGATGTTTTCCTTTGGCTTTGGAGGGGATTTATTAGCCTCCAACTCTGGCTGATCTGGAGAACTTTCAATGATCGGCTCAATTTGGGAACTGTCCAAATCGCTAGCAGGCTGAGGTTGAAGACACTCGGTCATCACCTCATCTTGAGATGTAACGGACTCAGTCATCGGGGGTTCTGTGAGCAATGGCTGTTGTAGCTCACGGCAGGCCAGAGTGCAGAGCTTAGCCAGGAGATCGACAATGAGTTCATACTTGGTGGTGAAGACGGATGAGAGCGCCGGAGAAGAGAGAAGGCCCTGACACACACTGAGTATGGTGGACGCACACACCATCGACTCAGGGCCAACACGTGCACACTCCTGGAGACGGTCCAGCAGCAGCTAGAGGTATACAGAGAGAAGAGGTGTCAGAAAAACCTTCAAATATCAACGTCAACGCACCCTCTTTGTAGAGTATGAATGTACTACAGCCAAAGTACTGGTCCAATGTGAGATAATCACAAAAAGAAAAAAACTGTGTACTGTGTACTCTACTTTTATGGTGGTGTTTTTATTCAAATATTGCCTGCACACCTGTGCCATGTTGAGCCTCAGGCTGACGGTTTTGCCCTGCTTGAGAAGAGAGTGGAGCTTTCGGCTGTGAAGCAGATCGTCCAGATAGAACCACAGTCCTTCCAGAACATTCTGGGAAAACTCCACCTTCTGACTGTACCGGCCTGTCAAGGCGTGAGTGCACCAGTCCAACAGCACCTACAGTGGAAGAGGGTCAAGACAGACATGACAAGTGGTAGATATGTATATGCTGCTCTGAAATTCATTTAAAATATATTTTCCTATTCCAGAAATGACACAGATCTCAAATGAACGAACAACAATCAACTAGTGGAAAAGACCAAAGACCAAACTTAAGAGTAAGTTTGGTCTTAAAAAAATCAAGTTACATGCACTAAGATTGATGCAACTAAAAGTCTGTGATGTAAGTAAGAATTACTAATAACTGTGCTCAAATTAATAAAAAAGGCTTTAATTGGGTAGAAAAAGTGTTGGACACATAATATCTACAGACTACGTTAATGAAATAATCAACAAGACTATTGTCTGCAAACACAAACATCCTGTTACACAACTTCAGCGTTTACCTGTTCCTTGTTAGGCAGCAAGCATTGATTGGAGACCCAGGCAAAACGTGCCAGCTTTAACTTGTCCTCCCACGAAGTCTGAGGACTCTTCAGCTTCAGATGGATACCCGAGTACATGGCAGCCATCGCTGCAGCCGGTGATACTGCTGCACGAGCCTGAAGAGAGGGGATGGAGAAGAGGTGACACAACACCGGGGCAAAGGTGAAAATGGATCTTATCTGCCCTAATTAAGTAATTATTATTAATACAGTTATTGTTATTATAAAGTGTCGGTGAGTATTAACTTTATTTAACAGCGATAAACTACATGGGTAAGACTAGAGAAGAGGGTACGGGAATGTATATTCGTATAACAATGGACATTGGAGGTGTTTACATTTAAATGCATGTGCAAACACCCACCCAAGACTGTAAAGAATACTATAACGTTACCCCCTGAATACCCGGCTTTAATAAAAGCGTGAAAAGAAAAACGTGCTTAGCTAACGTTAACTAACGTGGGCTACATAGGTTAGCATGTTCTTGCTATACTTAAAGTAACGTAAGCTAATACTGGAGCTTTTTATTGTCCGCACGCAAGCAACACATCCCTGATAGCCACTGCGCCTTGTTTAAGGGTAGTTACATACACGTGTGTAAACTTAGTTTATTAGACTTACGACTTTTTAACCCGCACGTGCCTCCTGTTTTCAGATGTGGACAAACTTTCAACTTTCACCCTGGCCGGTCAGACAGAAGCAATCGAGAGACGATCTAATGTATCGGCCTTTTGCTTTTCGTCTTCAACCTTCACTCCCCGCAGACCAGAACCCTGGTAGAACGTAGAAGTTCATTCATA